TGAAAACGATTGTACTAAAAATCACCCCAAGGTAGATTCCCAGGAAAGAGGAGGGGTCACAATGGTCCCTCTTAAAACCCACTTTCCTTAGACAGAACTACCAAGACAAGTAATTTTAATAGAACAATAATTGACAACAACTATACCCGACAATAGCTATTAAATAGACATAAAAGAGAACACCAAAATATTTCACTAATAGAGGAAATATTACAAAGAGAGAAAGAATACAAATAGCCTTTAAAATAGAAGAAGGCTTATATTTGTGGGATGATTAACTAAGGAGGAGGAGGGCTTTATTTATAACAAAAGAATTTCCCCTCCTCCTTATACACAACCAATGTGGGACTTTTGCCAAAAACCAACAAATCTCCACCTTGACAAATTCCACACACATCTCTAAAAAAACAATCTTTTAATTTGTAACAATATTGACCAAATCTAAACAATGTTTAAACTTGACCGCAGTTACCACTTTTGTCAACATATCAGCAGGATTCTCAGTGGTCCGAATCTTCTGGATTATGACTCCACCTTCTTCTAGAATCTCTCGTAAATACACACAATGATCATATTTGCTTCTTGTGTACTTCTGCCCTATCATAAACTTGTCAAATCGCTTGTACCACTGCCTTGGAGATTGCTTCAATCCGTACATCGATTTTTCTAATTTGCACACCATCTCTTCTTTTTCAGCAACTTTGAATCCATCTGGCTGAGTCATGTAGATTTCCTCATCCAAGTCTCCATGTAAAAATGCAGTTTTTACATCCATCTGAACTAGTTCCAAATCCAACTGCGCTACCAAAGCCAACAAAATTCTGATGGAGGAATGTTTTACAACTGGAGAAAATACTTCATTATAATCAACTCCCTCCGTTTGAGCGTAGCCTTTAGCCACCAATCTTGCTTTGTAGCGGATGTTATTCTTGTCAGGAAATCCATCTTTCTTTGCATATACCCACTTGCACCCAATTGCCTTCTTTCCCTTCGGAAGACTAGCTAGTTTCCACGTCTGATTCTTTTGAAGGGATTGCATTTCTTCATTCATGGCAATCCTCCACTTTTTATGTTCTGAACTTTGAACTGCTTCATTAAAAGTGGCAGGAACGTCATTAATTGCAATTGGTGATGCAAAAGAGACCATATCAGCATAACGAGCAGGTTGTCTAATGGTCCTCTTTCCCTTTCTGAGTGCAATTGATTCATGTTGCTGTGGAGGTTCTTGGGTCTGAACCTCTTCTTCATCTGACTCTTCTTCTACCATAGGAGAGTCAACATCATTTTCTTTACTGGTTGGGACAAATTTGCTTCCTTCAAACTCCACCTTTTTGGGAGTTCCATTTGTCTGCTCCAATTTTTCTGAAGTCACCTTTCTCAACATGGTAGATTCATCAAAGGTAACATCCCTGCTGAAGATTATTTTCTTTGTTTCTGGACACCAAAGACGATAGCCTTTCACACCAGAGGTGATCCCCATAAAAATCGCCTTCTTTGCTCTTGGATCCAGCTTTGACTCCTTAACATGGTAGTATGCAGTGGAACCAAACACATGTAAGGAATCATAATCTGTAGCAGGTACTCCAAACCATTTCTGTACGGAGACGTTTGATTTTTCTGCCTGTTTGAGTCTCCATCATCTTTTTCCATTTAAGGAAAAATCCTAGCACCTCATCCTTTGTCTTCATTGGATATACCCAAACTCTCCGGGAAAAATCATCAACAAAGGTGACATAATAGTGTGTTCCTCCCAATTAAGTTGTCTTGGAAGGCCCCCATACATCTGAATGAACATAATCCAAAATACCTTTAGTATCATGGATTGCTGTTCCAAATTTCACCCTCGTCTTCTTCCCTTTGATGCAATGCTCACAAAAAGCTAATTTGCAAGCCCGAGCACCCTTCAATAATCCTTGATCTATCAGTAATTTCAAGGATTTTTCACCAACATGCCCCAAGCGCATATGCCATAACCTGGTTGCTTCTGACTCCTGTTCATCAGTAGAAGCTGCCACTGCTGCTGTCCCAACAATTGTACTACCCAGAAAGTAATACACATTGTTTCTTTTTCGGATTCCCTTCATTATCACCAGTGCACCAGAGATAATCCTCATAATCCCATCTTTTGCCCTCACTTCTAAACCTTTTGACTCTAAGGTTCCCACAGAGATGAGATTTCTCATTAAATCTGGTACATAATGGACACCTGTTAAGGTTCTGATTGATCCATCCTGATTCCTCAAGCGAATTGAACCAATCCCAAGTGTGTCAAGAGGGGAATTATTTGCTGTGTAGACAATTCCACCTTTTAGTTCTTTAAAATCAAAGAACCATTCTCTATTGGGGGTCATATGGTGGCTACAAGCTGAATCTAACAGCCATGAACTGGAACAGCTGGTTGATGGCGTAGCAGCGAATGCAAAATCTGAATCTCCATCATCATACTCGACCACATTTGATTCTGAGACAGCCTTCCCCCTTTCAGGTTTGCCTTTATTCTTTAGCCTGGGACATTCTTTCTTCCAGTGCCCTTTTTCTCGACAAAAGGCACATTCATCTTTGCTCAATCTGGACTTTGACTTTGATCTCCCTCTGCTTCCTTTATTCTGACTCTTGGAACGGCCTCTAACAACAAGAGCTTCTGCTTCGACACTTGTGTTTTCTTGTTTGTCTTTCTTTCTCAATTCATAACTATACAAGGCAGCAGTTACTTCACTGAGAGACACATCAACCTTCCATGAAGTAGAGTAGTTTCAAGATACTCAAACTCATCAGGAAGTGATCCCATCAACATCAGAGCCAGATCTTCGTCTTCAAAAGTCACGTCCATATTCATCAGATCAGTCACCAGCTGATTAAAGCTAGTAATGTGATCATTCATAGTGGTACCTGGTACATAGTTGAAGCGGAACAGTCTCTTTTTCATGTAGAGTTTGTTCTGACCGCTTTTCTTCAAAAATTTCTCCTCCAGTGCCTTCCACAATTTACTTGCAGAAGTTTCCTTAGAAAATGCATACTTCTGCTCTCTAGAAAGACACGATCGAATAGTACCACATGCCATTCTATTGATCCTCTTCCATTCTTTCTCCTCAACATCATCTGGTTTCTCTCCTTCAATAGCAATGTCTAGACCCTGCTGAAATAGGGCATCTAGAACCTCGCTTTGCCACATGCCGAAATGACCAGTGCCATCAAAAATCTCCACTGCAAATCTAACATTTGTCACAGCATTTCTTGCCAAAATTGAAGATGAAGAAGCGTCTGCCATTTCTACTACAAATTCTATTTAATAGCCGCCAATGCAGAATGTCAATTATCCCAAGAAAATTTTTCTGATGTGGAAGATCAGCCTAAGCCGCAACCACAGAGCATACTAAAATAAACCAAGAGCGCTGATACCAATTGTTGTGAAATTCGGGTTAATTTCCACCAATAACAGATTCACCGTGAAAACTATTATCTAGGTGACTAGTGTGAAAACGATTGTACTAAAAATCACCCCAAGGTAGATTCCCAGGAAAGAGGAGGGGTCACAATGGTCCCTCTTAAAACCCACTTTCCTTAGACATAACTACCAAGACAAGTAATTTTAATAGGACAATAATTGACAACAACTATACCGGACAATAGCTATTAAATAGACATAAAAGAGAACACCAAAATATTTCACTAATAGAGGAAATATTACAAAGAGAGAAAGAATACAAATAGCCTTTAAAATAGAAGAAGGCTTATATTTGTGGGATGATTAACTAAGGAGGAGGAGGACTTTATTTATAACAAAAGAATTTCCCCTCCTCCTTATACACAACCAATGTGGGACTTTTGCCAAAAACCAACACTCAACACATGCATGCTCCTAGAGAAGGACATATGGTTGTTGTAAAAAGAATCTTAATGTATTTGGCTAGTACTTTAAATCATGGCTTGGTTATATTGTCGACTACGAGAAATCTGCCAGTGGTGGCCTTTGCTGATACTGATTGGGGGGAGTAACACTGACGATCGACAGTCTATATCAGGACATTGTGTTTTTCTTGACGATAACCTGGTTTCGTGGGCTTCAAAGAAGCATAAGTCTATTTCTCGATCGACTAAGGAGGCCGAGTACAGGAGTGTTGGAGATGTTTCTGTTGAGACGACTTGGGTTAGTGCCTTGTTGACAGATATGGGTGTTGAGCAACAAACGCTTCCTGTTGTTTGGTGTGACATTAGCACGGTCGCTACGACAACAAATCCAGTGTAACGAAGCACGTCGTGTTAGACTTTCATTTTATTCGCGAGAAGGTGGCTGCAAAACAGGTTCTCATAAACTACGTTCCAACCAGCCATCAGGTGGCTGATGGTTTCACTAAGCCCTTGGCTCGAGCAAAGTTTGAAGAGATTTGGTCAAAAATTAATGTTCATTCTTTTGTAGAAGAGGAAGAAGAAAGAGTAGGGTGAATGTTAGCTAGGATAGCTCAGCTTTGCTTTCTGTTAGTGCAGTTACTCAGCTGTGACAGTTATGCTGTTAGGGTTGCCGTTAGGGTTAACTGCTATTGGGTGTGTTATATAGTCAGATGTATTCTTTGTATTTCTTCAAACAATATTCATCAAAATTTCAATATTTCTTTTATTCTCTTTGCTTTGTGGAAATACTCAACCATATGAATCGACTCGGGTTGCACACCTGGGCGGGAATTTTCTGCATACACAAAGACTCGAAGCTAAGACTTTGCTTAACCGATATCAAGCTGCTTACCACTTAAACCAATCCCCGTCTGTGCTGTTAGTTTTGAGTGTAGTTATGTTTAACCAAGGATTTTGGTTATAGCACTGGGGATACTAATCTTATCTTAATTTCTGGGGAAGTGGATGTGAAACGTTGAAGTGCTTGATAATATTGTATGACCCAATTTATTAATGAGATGGTTGAGGAATTAAATACATTCCTATAGGTGTGACCAAATTTGATTGTAACCAGTCATTCTTGCTACTGAATAGGAGGAGGCCAAGCCAAATGTAATAATTTAATACTACAATGACTACTAAAGAAACATGGTGTAATAGTAAAAAAAAAACTCATCACAACTTTTGTACTAAGTAAACTGATATATTACAAGTTACTGAATGTGCAAGAGATGTGAAGCTCTTGGCCTTTGATTATGTTGAAAAGCACCGGCGAGTTTAGCCCCGTCTTGAAACCTTGTTGCAGGTATGTAGGAATCCGACACACGGATCATACTTGGGTTGAAGCCTGCTGCCTTCTCGTTTGTTTTGTGGGCATCTCCGGCTACATCGACGGCTTTCTGGCTGTTACACCCCAATAGACCACTAAAAAGGTGCCTCCGGAACTCCTTGTCAGTTTTGGTGCTTTCGTGTCTGGTGGTTGTCAGAAATGTGTTCAGTGGGCTCGGTAGAGTTCTCGATGGCCTTAGCTCTTCGTAGTCGGACATGACCGAGAAATCTACTGCACTGGCCGTGACCACACTCCACTCTATACTGGCCTCGCTCGGTGCATAACAAGTTGTCGGGGTGGCACACCCGGACGCTACATCGGAAGCTTGTTTCACAAAAAAGGGATTGGCTTTGCCTGTTAGGCTCTCTATCTCAAACAAGTCCGAACTTGCATCACTCTGTGCATCATTGTAGTCACCTTTAGGATTTTCATTCCCTTCAACTTTTGGAGTGGAATCACAGGACAACATTTTTAGCCTCCTCTCAATGTTCATAGACTTGTTTCTCCTTCCAAGTACAGGGGAGCCGAAAACCTCTAGCGATTTCCTTCCGATTTCATCTACATCACCTTGGAACGATACCTTGACAGGTCGAATCCCCATACCGGAATTCGTAGCAGGGAAAGTAAAAATCTCCTCCTTCATCCAGGGCTCTGGTACTGGTTTATTGACCTCTAGACTGGCCATAATGGTAGCCGTTTTAGTTTGCTTGCCATGGCTCTTAAAACTTATTTCACCAACTTGTACTTCATCAATATCAATAGACTTCCGACCAGAGCAGTAACATTTGCAGCCAGCAAGACCCGAAAGAAAACCCTTTCCATTCAATTTACTAAGTTTTTTCCCAGGAGGATTTCTCATAACACCTTGGAGTAATGCACTTTGACTGTTCCAGCTCGACTCGGATCGAACACTCAGAGTTCCCTGATGAGTTACAGGCTTTATCGGCTCTATGTTGATGATTCCTTCATCTTTAACACATTCCAACGTCTTCGTAATTGTATCTATTTTGGTTATTCTTGGACTTTCCGCATGTATTCCTCCATTGAAGTATTTTTCAGCTCCGAATACTCCAATTTCTCTATCTTCTTCTTTCTTGAGCCCTGGATGATAATGTTCATCTTGGTTGGTGGTGATGTTGGGGCTTGAAGATGAAAGTTTCCGTAAATAGTTTTCCTCGAAGGGCAATGTTCGTGGCAGGTTCGTTTTGTAATTTGATGTTAATGTAATCATAGCCATGGAGTTCTCGAAATTCCGACAGAATATACGCTGCAATGAAACAAAAACGAAAGAACAAGTGAGAAAATGACACAAGAGTGAAGACGCAACAATAGGAAAGCTGGGACTAGGAGAAGAATGAAGCTGCATACATATATAGCAAGTACCAGGTTCACCCTGAAGGCAAATAGGATCGTAGTTTTTGAGAAATCCCAAGATTCCCTTAAAAGCTGCAGCAAACAAACACTAAAAGAGAAGGGGGAAATACTAATTTATTGCTAGAAATCAAAGGTTGGAAACTAGGTAAGATATGAAATTAAATGAAAAGCTCATCGGCTTGTAGAGCAAGTTGTTGTACCGACAACAGTAAGGACATCTCACATATGCAAGATTTTAAAGGGCGTAGGCCCATATACTTGTTGACTAACGCAAACCGTAGTTAAATTTCTCCACAACTAGAGCTTTGATACTTGTCAAGTTATCTTTAGCAAAAAGATATAATACCCTTTCACTAGATAAAACTAATAAGTTTTACACTAATTAATTTATAGCCATTAGATTTAAATAAATAAATAAATGATTAAGATTTAATTAAAATTTATAATTCATAAAAAATATCTTTTAACCCACAATAAAACAATATCTCCTTTTACCCAATCCCAAATTTCAAACCCTAAACCCTAAAATCTCAAACCCTAAAACACATGTCTCAAACCCTAAACCCTAAACATCAAATCATAAACCATAAACCATAAATTCTAAATCTTAAATCCTAAATCCTAAACCTTAACTCTAAAAAAATATTGTTTTACTATGAGTTAACTAAATATTTTTTATGGGTTATAAATATTAATTAAATCTAAACTATTTATTTATTTAAATTTAATGACTATAAATTGGTGTACATAGTGTAAGTGGATCCTAATCCATATGTATATCCTCCGTATGTTATTTTAGGCTCAACTGTTTTTCTTCCTTCACAGATCACATTAAGTCGAATCTCTAGAATTTCTCGAAGCCTTTGAAGCTCCATGCCCTTCGACAAGTTATGGTTCTATGATGTGATCACTGACAGGTCCATATAATTTAATGAAAGTCAAATCTATTCACCATGTCAGTCTAAGAATATCCATCCTTATTTGTTTGCATTCTTGTTTTTATAATTTTTTTTATTGCATCATTAAATAATTTGAAATTCTTGTTGATGTCTAAGAAGGAGAGTCATCCGAGAGGAAAGGAAATGCCAAATAAGTGTAGTTTTGATAGAGTGGTATTGTTAGGAGCTAGAATTTAAGGTGTGTGCACCACAAACTTTAAAAGTGTCTCATGTTTTATATAATTTTCAAAGCTTAGTTGATTGTGCCTTATGTGTTGGGATGTTTGTGCGCTATGTATTTGAAGAGTATTATTAAGTGTTATCAATGAGTTTTAAGCATGCTTTTGAGTGTTAAATTAATAGTGTGTTGTTTTGAATGAGTATTAGGAGTTTTAAGTCATCTTGAAGCATTCTTATACTTGATTTTATGAATTTTTGTGGGGATTATCAATAATTTTAACCAGAGAATCTAACTTAGGGTTTCAAGGTAAGAGTTTCAAAACTCTTACTCTTGATGTATTAGGAGTTTTAAGTCATCTTGAAGTATTCTTTTACTTGATTTTATGAATTTTTGTGGGGATTATCGATAATTTTAACCAAAGAATCTAAATTAGGGTTTTGAGGTAGGAGTTTTAATTTTTTTTTGAAAGGTAAATGAAGCCTCGTTAAAAATCTTTTCATAATACGATCTAGTTAAGACTAAGTCGAGATAATGAAAAGGAGAAAGAGTACCCGAAATTTTATTAAACGACAAAAAGGTGAACAACCAACACAACAGATGCTCGGATCATAACTGTAGACCTAAGAAAAACAAACCTATCATACCCATCACAACACCTAGATAACAATCTCTACTGATAACAAAATAGGAACAAGGAAACTGCTAAAACATACTCCCAACAATGCACAAGCCAGACCTTACCTAACAAACGACTTATGGAAGGAATGAATCCATCCACACATGGGATATTTCAACCAAAGATTGCAGTATACCAAGCCTCCATACGAACTCACAAAACGAACCTAGCCAGACTATTTTAGATCGAATACGCACCACGACTGATGAGAAGCAACATTACCCAGACCCAACTTTAGCGAGAAAGACTGTTCCCACGAAGCGAGAACGAGAGAGAAAATGAGTGAACATCAATGCTTCTGTAGTAGAACAGGGAAGCTTCAATTGCAGGGAGCCCCAATAACGAAGTTAATCCGCTTGACACTTGTACCAAATCTGTTCACAGTGAATGCCCTACGGTTTTGGCCCTTGAGTCAAACCTGATGAAACAGCAGAAAATGATCACATATGCATCCTGCACAATCACCAAATTACAAACGTAACCTTCAGCAATCAGCAAATTCAATTCCAACTCATATTAAATTGCCAAACATTGACCGCTTTGAAGAGCTTCAACTTCCTGAGAAGAGATCTTTGACATACATACTTAAAACTATGAGTAAACTCACGATGAATCCCACTGCAAGTAATGCAAAAGAAAGTCCAGAAATATTGCGCAACATACTGAGGACCCTAGATTGGTGATCTTATTTATTTTCTTATTTAGTCTATAAACTCCATTTGGTGATCTTCATTTCTTATTTTGTTTTTAATATCGAAGTTCATGTTTGCATAATCATCCTTAATTTTATTATGACTTTGTCTATACTTTGAAAATGAAACTTTATCTGGTGAAAATGTTAAACAACATCAGTTTTGAGTTGTTGGTTGTTTCAGTCACTTAATGTAGTATCTCAAATTCATAGAATATTTTAAGTCACGTTTAGGTGTTATATTTTTATCTATAATATTTTGTTTTAAAATATTTTCAATTTTTTTGAATACTTAGAGCCTTATAACTTCATAAAAAATCGATAAAACTCCTTCATTATATGTGAACAATCATTCATACATTGATCATCATGTTAGCAATTTTATTAGCCACAATAACTCATTAATATAGTTGTCAATAATTTCCATAATAGATGGTTAAAAGCTCTTAAATGACATTTTTTTTTCGTGGGTTCAACATCCATGAAGAGTAATATTTCTCCTTCTTTTACTGTTAACACTACAAGAAAAATACCCTTTAATGACGTGCAATGCGTGTCATCTATGGGTGCGGATGACATACAAATGCCTCTCGTTGAAGCCACCAACATGAATTTTTTATGACGCGCAATTGTGTGTCATAAATCTATGACGCGCATTTATGACGTGCATGTATGACTTACATTGCGCGTCATTGAAGCACCCGTCATAAATTAAGATGACACACATTTGTGCATCATAAATTTATGACACGCATGTATGACTTACATTGCGCGTCATTGAAGCCCCCGTCATAAATTAAGATGGCACGCATTTGTGCGTCATAAATTTATGACACACATGTATGACTTACATTGTGCGTCATTGAAGCCCCCGTCATAAATCTGCTTGACATACATTTGTGTGTCATAAATTTATGACACGCATATATGATTTACATTGCGTGTCATTGAAGCACACATCATTTAAAAAGACGACAAACGTTCGTGTGTCGTAATTATATTTCGGAAATTATATATATATATATATATATATATATTGTAGATTGACAAATAATCAAACTAAATCACATTGAATGCCTCATAATACTAAATCTATGTACCATATTATATATAAGCAATCCATTTGCATACAATATATTCACATTAAGTTATAAAAAATATTGTATTAATCATATGTCGATACAAAATATCAAGGCATAATAAAGTTTGCCACATAAGATACTCATTCTTTGCGAATATCATCAATGTCATCATCTGTATATTCTTCTTTCCCATCACCAACCTAAGTAAAAAATATGAAATATGTATATAATTTATACTTATTTAAAGTGAAGTATATAATGAACTATTAAAGAGTACTAAAATGACCAATTTTACATATGCATTCTTTGAAGCATAATAACATTATGCAAAGTCATAAAATCAATAGCATTATAAAAAATTCCAACTTTGTTCACAACAATATCATCACAAATAATAACCACAAGAGAGTCCCTGTTACGTCTATAGTACTTGACAAAATCAAATTTTGGATTTTAAGTGCTAATACGTGTCAAATGCTTTCACAACTCCACCGAACATTTCAAATTGTTCCTTTAGACATTGATTCATATATCGACAAATAGTATCGATTGCCACATGCTTAAAACATGTAATTAGATTCAAGAATTCACTCATTACTTACAACAGAATCTATCAATATATAGAAGCAAATAACAAGAAGTTTACCATCAATGTAGCTACCAAGTCAAGGCCCTTCTCCTTTGCAAATGTCCAAGCAGAATCCTCAGCTATGGTTTTGGAGACTACATAACAGAGATGAATTAAAAAAATGACATTCAGAAATAATACCCTTTTATTATAAAAGAAACAGTTTGATATTCTAAAATATTAAGTTGTAGCATGGACAAATTGTATAGTGCACAAACAAGACAACAACTAGCCAGTTCATGCAACCAGCAAAAGAAGTTATGAAAAGTGTGATCAATATCCTCAATATGATAAAAGTGCATGATGGTCACTAATTAGCTGCTAAAATAAGATACCAAGAAAAATATTGGAACACTACCAAGCTGCATGTGGTTTGCGCAGCTACTTCTGGCAGTTGAATATCTGTATTCAAATTTTGTTCTGCATCGGGACATAAAGGTATGAATGTCAATTTACATTGGTCTTTCTATTAACTTATTTATTATGGACTGACTTCAGCACTTTCTTGGTAGTGTTCCAATATTTTTCTTGGTATCTTATTTTAGCAGCTAATTAGTGACCATCATGCACTTTTATCATATTGAGGATATTGATCACACTTTTCATAACTTCTTTTGCTGGTTGCATGAACTGGCTAATTGTTGTCTTGTTTGTGCACTATACAATTTGTTCATGCTACAACTTAATATTTTAGAATATCAAACTGTTTCTTTTATAATAAAAGGGTATTATTTCTAAATGTCATTTTTTTAATTCATCTCTGTTATGTAGTCTCCAAAACCATAGCTGAGGATTCTGCTTGGACATTTACAAAGGAGAAGGGCCTTGACTTAGTAGCTACATTGATGGTAAACTTCTTGTTATTTGCTTCTATATATTGATAGA